GGAAAGAAACAGATGTTTACTGCTGACAGTCTGAAGACTGACAATGATGTAAATCATTGTACAGGATTAAGGTCAAAACAGGCATTTAATGACATGTATCAGTACCTAGAGCCACATGCTAGGAAGATGACCTACTGGAAAAGTTCAGATTCAGGAAATGGTACTCCAAAGTCAAAGAAGTCATCTACCTGTACGAAAAGAAATGGAACCCCCAAAAAGCGTGGCTCGAATCGTAGGCTTACTCTGCGAGATGAGTTCATGATGACACTGATGCGTTTGCAAAGTAGGGAAAACAAAGAAAGTGGCTAACTTGAGAATTCCTGTGGAACGGGCAATCAATAGACATAAGGACTTCAAAATCCTGGGGGGTACATTTCCCATAACATTGATATCAGCAGCAGATGATATTGTCAAGGTCTGTGCTGCATTAGTTAACCTGCAGCCAGACCTGATCAAGTAAACCTGGCAGTGTCATTCATACTAATCATAGTCTACATCTCTGAGCTTACATATTCATCATCATTTTTTTTAGTAATCATTATGTGCAATGTAAGTCATCATTGCATTGCATATACTGTACCATACATGAAGTGAGTGCTTGTTGTAGGGATTGCCTTTCTACATAGAAGGAAAATGATACAATTTTCTTTTGAAATGAAATCTTTCACTTGTTTGTCAATGTTTTTCACTGCCGGGAAATACTTCATAAACAAATGCCAAGGACATCATAATGTATGAGTTTACCCTATAATCTATATACATGTGTATAACTATCCAACACTGTATCTACTGCATTTTTGTACTAGAATGCATAAAACATGAACAGCAAATTTTGAACAATGAAATTGTGAAACATGATTTTTTGGAACATTGAGGTACATTGTAACTCCTTGGTTGGAATAAAAATGACCATATGGCTTATATAGAACTTCACTCTGTGGTTTTGGAGTTATTGTTCTTCTGTATCTTCCTGTGTACAAGTTCAGGGGCAACAAACTCCTTGAAGAACTGTTCAGCTGCAACAAGTGCCCCTGTCCACACATCCTCCGCATGGAAATTATTAGTGATTAGATACAACAACAACAAGATTTCAGTGGGCCCACTCCCGAACTCTGAACCCCGAACTCTCTAGAACTGTCTCAGTTGGTTTTGTTTGGTAGTGGACTTCTGTTTTTACCCACTTGCTCTCGAAGTACGAGTAAGCTTTCCCCTCTTTGTAGTCGCTGAGGAGACGATCGTGCAGTGTTACTGTCTTCCGATCTGTCCTCGAGCTGCTGTCTCTTGGTTCGCTGACGCACGGGGCCTCGCACAGCAGCCACTTGGCGATGTCCGTGAAGCCGACCGGAGGCCATAATGCACGGCGGTCGGTTGCTGGGCTAAAAATCCCATTACTAGGGAGGTATCGGGTTACAGAACGCGTTCGAACGTGGCCGCGCGGGAGTCCCGGGCCGGCCCGGGGGTAACGGGTAAAATTTGAAAATAAACAAAAGTAATTGGAGAGTAAATACTCGTCAAAATAAAATGTAACAAGTGATTTTGTTTACCTCAAATGTTATTCTTCCACGGCCTTTGCTCAACTTTGTGTACATTTGCTTCCAAAGGAGATTAATTTCGGATTTCAAAAAGGGTTCACGAGAACCAAACAACTGATTTTAAGAGGCCCCGAATATTAAAAATAAGGTTAGATTTTTGGATTTTTAGAAATATAACAGTAAATTTAAACTTTCTGTCTTAGGATTTTTTTATTTTGTAACTAAAACTCGACTTACAGTAAAAAAAAGAGCTAAAAACGCAGTTTTTCAACTTTAAATACCGATAATTCATCATCGCGGCCATATTTAAAAAATCCCTAAGACAGAAATCTGCGGAAATCGTTCCTCTTCCAAACAAGCCCTCAATGAGGTAATTTGAGCGATTTTTGGGAGTGGTTAAAATACCATGTTTGCACGCATGTTGTGCCACTTGGATATGGGGACCTGGATTTTATAACAGCGTCAACAAGAATTCTGACCTTCAAGGTCACCCACGATGACGGCAGTAGCTTCGTTACATGTTACATATCCACAATAAAATCACGGCATAGATGTAATGTTTTTAAAACGGTTCATATTTGTGGAAAGGTGGATTTTTCCTGTTCCCTGGTTCCCAAGTAAAAAAGGGCTTGAAGTAGCCGGTTGTAGCGGCTTTACTCTAAATGACCGCGGGTAACCCCGGATCGAACACCCGTTCGGCTCGAATGACGTCATATCGAACAAGATTCGCGGGTTCGGGGGGTTCGATCTCCATAGTAGCGGAGTGGGACTTTTGGGCCAAATCTGACCATCGTGATGTGTTCCTTTTCCTTCAGCCACCCTTCAGTCAAGTCCAGCAGGGGATCAGGTAGTTTTGTGCCATTAATCTTCAACAGTTCGGTGTACTGCGTAGATCGTGCCCTGTCCTCGGCGATCTCGTCCTGCTTCACGGGTATACCGAGCTGCACGGCGCTGTATGCCAAAGAAGCTCGCAGCTCGGCCTTTCTCCAGCTCCGCCCCGTTGTTTTGAGTCCTCTCTCTCGCAAAAAGACCTTCAATGCCGGCACTTTCCAATGTCCGATTTCTTCCAAGGAAGGACCATCAGCCTCGTCCTCCATTTCGGCACGAAATCGCAACGAAAATCTTCACTTACGACCAGCAAAAACACACACAGGACACAGGCATTGCCGGTACACACACACGAAGCACACACAAAAAAAAACACGTCTGAACTATTAAAACACTTTCAACTCAAAAACTCCCTTTATTCTTAAGAATTAGATCTATCCAAACGTAGCCGTTCGGAAGCTAACGTCGCTGTTTGAACGCCAAAACGGCTTACACCTTTCCTAAGGTGTACACACCTTTCGTACATATGGGGATTAAATGTTCGCGCGGCGGCGTGTTTATCTCCAAAAATGGCGGACATTACCCATCATGCATTTCGCGCCGCTAATGGCGAAAGGGCTTATTACCCATGCTGCTTGATGTAGATAACATTTCTGTGATGCAAAAGAAGTTTGACCAAAAAGAGTCAAACAAAAATAAGCAATGAGAAGACGAAAGTTTAGATTAAGGAGAGAAGAAATCTGATACGTTTTCGGTTCTTTTTTTTATTCTCAAAAGCTCCTAAGAAGTGGCGTGAAGATTTGCGCTGCGGTGAGGACTACCCTGCTGAAAACCATTACCCTGCTGAATGCGACCCCGGCAGTAATTACCCATGCTGCTCCTCGGAAAATCGGTGTGGCAGCACTGCAGCCGAGTGTGACTGTATGTATTGTGTCAACTACAGGGACACATTGTCAGGTACATATCTATGTTTGCCTTCGCAGAAGGAAAACATATTGCTTTTTCTCTGTTTCTTCTTCCTCTTCTTCTTCTGCTGTAGCAGGCACCCTGTGGTGTTTGGTTATATAGGGTAGAGCTGGAGGGGCTGTTCACCATGTATGTGCATGAATGTGTTTGAGTAAGAATAAACAGATCAGTAGTTTGTTAGGCTAGACCATTATGCATTTGCTTTTCAAATGTTACCTTTCTTGTCATTGACTTGATCACTATTATACATAACGTGATGAAAGAGCGGTTTATGATGCATTTTTACGTAATGTTTAATGACTGTTAATCCTATCGTAAACCAGAAAGGTAGACATTTGTAAGGAATTGCAGAATATGTACCTTCACATGGTCTAGCTAAACATTTCTATTAAGAAAACAAGGTCCGCTAACTTCAGAAGACATTTTACTTATTTGACATCACAAAGCACAAGGAAATGCATTTTAATTCTAATCTCATCTCAACATAGGAATTTGTGCAAATGGAAACGTCATTGACAAGACCCAAATTTGTGATGACAGAAACGACTGCGGAGACAATACAGACGAACACTGCTGTAAGTAGAAACTCGAGCTCGGAAGAGCAACATTTTATCATAATCTGCTCGGAAATGTAGATTTTCATTTAGGTAATCATATGGCTTTAGCCTGGGTGCCATCCTCAGTAGTATTCGCCCACTCTCTAATGTCGCTAGCTACATGTACAGCGTTTAGTGACTGTTATCCCTATCGTAAACTAAAAATGTAAGCAATGGCAGTATGTGTACCCTCACATAATCTAGCTAAACATTTCTATCAAGAAAAGCAAGGTTTAACTGAAGGAACTCTAACTTTGAAGGCGTCATAAAGCACGGGTGATGCCTTTGATTCCATTTCTTTCTTTTTTTCTCTCAAACTCAATGAAGGGATTTGTGCAAATGGAGACATCACTCACAAGACCCAAGTATGTGACGGTAGAGGCGACTGTGGAGACAATTCAGACGAACAACACTGCTGTAAGTAGAAATGTGGAAGAGCAACATTTTATCATGATCTGCTCGGAAATGTGAATTTTCATTCACGTAACCACATGGCTTACCATGACCTGCAACTTTGACATCAGAAAGACATATTGCTTTTTGTATGTTTCTTCTTCCACCTCTTCTTTGTCCTCTTCTTCTTCTCCAAACAAATAAAGTCAATGAATTGGACAAGACGTCTGTCACCATGGTAACAGGTGCTGTAGCAGACACCCTGTGGTGTTGGGATACATTATGTAACAGGACAGAGCTGCAGGCTGGATGGGCTGCTCACCATGTATTATATATGGGAAGTGTTAAGGTAACAATAAACATATAAACATATAAGTATTTTGCTAGGCTAGACCTGAAGTGAAGGTAAACATTATGCATTTGCAATGCAAATGTTACCTTTCTAGTTATTAACTTGATCACATAACCATGATGGAAGAGGGGTATGTTATGTATTTTTACGTAACGTTTAATGAGTATTAACCCCATAGTAAACCAGAAAGGTAACATTTGCAGAATACGTACCTTCACATAGTCTAGCTAAAAATGTCTATCGATATCAAGAAAGGAAGGTTTCATTGACAGTCATCTCACATCTGAAGACACTCATTTAACGTCACTGAACACAGGTGAAAAAAAAAACAACAAATTTTAATGTATTTTAACTCTAATTTCATTTTATTTTTTCTTTCTCTTTAACTCAATGAAGGGATTTGTGCAAATGGAAACATCATTCACAAGGACCAAGAATGTGACGGCAAGGACCTTGGTAACGGTACTGACGACTGCGGAGACAATTCAGACGAACAACTCTGCTGTAAGTAGTACTGCGGAAGAGCAACATTTTATACGATCTGCTTGGAAATGTATATCTTCATTTAGGTAACCATATGGCTTGCCATTACCCGCAACTTTGGCATAAGAAAAATACGATAAAAAAACTTAAGTCAACAATAATTTTGATAATATCATATTGAGTACATAGAGGATAGAAACGTGGAGAGCTAGAGGGAAAGTCAAAGAATGGTCCTTTGTCACCATTCAATCACTCTAAGGCACCATCACGTAAACTGCGATTTTAGCACCCTGGGTACAATTATAAACAAAAGAATTTAATTGCACCCCAAATCCCTGACAATGTCTACCAAGACTTGAACAAATAACACAGGTATTTCAATTTGAATCTTATAATCTGCATTTGATGATTTAATGTTATTTTCTGTATATAGTCTGTCTCCTTCACATATAATGTAGACAATGTTTAAACGTGATGTAGTAATAATCTCTCACTGTTCTCAGGTGAGAGACGAGATAGGAAAAGCTGCGCCAATGGACAATGCATTGAGAAAGATGGCTTTTGTGACCGATTTACGCGCTGTGCAGATGGCAGTGACGAACTATACTGTCGTGAGTGTTGTCGATGTCCCTCTTTTTGTCTGGTACATTCTACGTTTGCCTTTTTGTCATATCCTCCCGAGGCAGGGTCAGTGGCGCGGTATCCTACCTTACACCACTAACCCTGCCAACTGAGGCTCAGTTTTCTGCTGATGGTGACGTGGTCTCTACATATCAATGAGCTTACCTTATTAGGCACAAGGCAATCAGCGCCAGGATCATATGAATTCAAGATGCATTTCTGGTGTTCACGTACTCTCCAAACAGAGGTTTGGGGTTATTGTTATTTTTCGCGCGTTTTTAGGCTTTTTTATAGGGGTGTACTAGAAAAAAATTCCAGTGCAAAAGAGAAACCCCAATAAGAAAGCCTAAAAGCACGCAAATAAACCCAAACCCAAGTGTTCATGCTGTTTGACATCTTGCACGGCTGAGACAACATAAATGTTATGCATTACCAACAGCCATTTTATAGGAAATTAACAGCAGCGATGTAAGACGTAACATGATTGGCTCTCGGAATCCCGGTGACCTTTGCCCGTAGCTTCGCACAACTGAAAGCTATAGCTATTTGTCTGATTGGCTGACGGGCTACGTCACCGTCAGCAGAAAACTAAGCCTCGGTTGGCAGGGTTAGTGGTGTAACATAGGATACCGCGCCACTGACCCTGCCTCGGGAGGATGTTTTGTCAAAACACCTCAAGAACCTTGTCCTCAGAATTGGATCAGATTAAGATTACAATAGGGCATAAAATATCACTTTGATGTAGAACTGCCTTCCGTGTTGCTAGCATTCTTATGTGTTGAATAATACAGCTAAGCCCACATTTAGGTTCAGGTCCGGATTCAAGTCCAGAGGTTGAGGTCCAGTTCCGGAATTTTAAGTCCGGTGTTACAGACCAACACGCTATTGATTTTGCCCCCCCCCCCACCTCGTCCCCCTTTTATAATAATGATCCCCCTACCTAGCCCCCTCTATCGCTAGAGATTAGGTCCACTCTGTATTCCCCCCTTAGTGGGGCGAAATCGCAGGAGGCCGAAATCGCTGTGACACCGGTCCTAAACCCATGGCATATACAAAATTGAATGTAAACATTTACATGCAATTGACACCATGTATAATATACAATGGTACAAAAAACGTGCAATTGAAGCTGAGTAGAACAATTTGATAACTGATAAGATCTTATAACCCGCAGCTCCTTCTGCCTGTGACAATGGCGGCCTGTTTCACCCGTTCTTTCGGTGTGACCGCAGAGATGACTGTGGAGACAACAGTGATGAGAAGAACTGTGGTGAGTTCTCCACACACAGTAATCAGACAACCCCAACGTGAAATCATTAATTAAAATGGAACAGTGGCTACTAACGATGACATACAACAGGGGGACCTAGCCTGCTATTCATATAATAGAAGCATTGCGGTAGGTCTATTTTAAGAGTTGCAAATACATGCGTTTTTGCAACTCTTAATGCACTCGTGGTGCATTATTGTGTACGGTCAAAGTTTAAGACTTGAAAACGAGTCATTTTTTCGACGTTTTCAGCTTACTATTCTTGTAGCCACCTGGGACCATTCTACAGATCATTCTACAGACCATTCTACAAACCCTAGCCTGTTTGACATTCTGAAAGGGCCATGAAATCAATTGCTACTTCACTTTACTATCAATTCCCAAAGAAAGAGAGCTCGGTGGTCAACAGCATTGTAAAGTAACATAGGTTAGGAGACAGTCAACCTTGGACTGAAAACAACAACAGTTCTTGTAGCCATGTGCTGCTATTACTTTGGAATCCACAGACTGTTACTACCTACGGGACAATGGGGCAAGCTACAGGGGCAGTGAAAACCAACAACACTCCTGTCAGTTCTGGACATCTCAGTACCCCCACGCCCATAACCACACTCCCGAGGCCTACCCGTCAGCAGGGCTGGAGCAGAACTACTGTAGGAACCCGGACGGGAAGGACAGACCGTGGTGCTACACCAACAACCCGCTCGTCAGGTGGAGCTACTGCGACGATGTCTTCGTGTGTGATGGTATGATCAGCTCTTTTTTACCTCCGCCAGAAGGTTATGTTTTTGGAGAGGAAAGGTCGCATGTGCTTGAATGTGGTTTAGCACAAGTAACTCAAGAAGCTATGAATTTGATAGCTCGTCATCTGGACGTGGTAGGGTTAAGAATTTTTGATAGCTTTTGTGATCGGGAAGAAGTCTATTAAATGAAGGTAGTTTGAACTACTGCGGTGTGTGCGTGTGTGAGTATGTGTGTGAGTGTATATGTGTGTGTATGTGTGTGAGTGCGCGAGCACGCGTGTGTGTGCGCGCGAGCGTTCGTGCCTGCGTGTGGAGGGTGTGCTAATTTCATTAAATGGATCTGTTTCCCTTTTTTAGCCGCACCAACAAGCTGCTTCTTCACTTACGACAAGGGAAGGAGCTACGCAGGAAACATAAACAGGTAAGATTAGCGTTTGAAGGAGTGGTGGCAAGACAGTTTAGTTTACTAGACCATTGCACCCCAAGCTGGAGCAATGGTCTAGTAAACATGAACTTGAAGCTCCATTATATCATCTTCAATGCTGTAATCTTTAATATTGTCATTTAAGGAAAGCTTGACACGATGTTTTCCGAACCGCAAGTTACTGTAAAATACGTTTTGACGTAAACAGCTTTAACTTAACATACAGCATCTACTGTATCCACAGGGCAGGGGACCGGGTGTGTCAGAGATGGGACTCCCAGTCCCCCCACCCCCATCCCCACACACCACAGGCTCATCCTGATGCGGGGCTGGAGGAAAACTTCTGCCGTAACCCTGACAACAAGGAGCGGCCCTGGTGCTACACCACGGACGAGTCGCTGACGTGGGACTACTGTAACGTGGCGGAATGTGATGGTAAGAAAGCTGAAAGAAGTCTGCGGCCTCCTCTTCCCCTTCCTCACCCCCTCCTCCCCCTCCTCCCCTTCTCCCTCTCCTTCTCCTCTTCTTTCGCCTCCTCTTCCTCCTCCCACCCTACATCTTTTTCCTCCTCCTTTCCTTCTCTTCTTTCTCCTTCTCCTCCTCTTGGCCCTTTCTCCTCCTCTTCTTCTTTCTCTTTCTCCTTCTCATCCTCTTCCTCCTTTCCTTCCTCCTCCCACTCATCCTCTTTTTTCTCCTCTCCCTCCTCCTCCTAATCCACTGCTTTTCATCTTTCTTATTTCTCTCTTCTTTTTTCAATTGTCATTAGATGGGATGAGGACCTTAAGATTAAGAAGGCAAGATTGTATTCTTTATGTTGACAATACCATGTTGAGTTATGTAGAGCTAGTGTTAACATTGTGTTCAAAGCGTTGTAAAACGTAAGCTTGATACAATCTTTTTTAGGATTGAGGCGAACAAAGGAATATTTTCATCAACACTCATACGAGCTATCGCCATGACGTCACGGGCAGCGAATGGTAGGCAAAGAGCAGGTGACAATTTGCACATGTTTGAAATAATTAGTATGTGTATTGTGTAAACAAAGACAACGGTCTCTCCTGTACATCGTTTGCTGTTTCTTATCTTTATAGACCCCACGTCTTTGAGTTCTTTTTGTTCATCCTGCAAGGGAAGATGCGGTAGGCCTTACCATCCACCTGATGCTTGTCATTGTGACCAAGAATGCAGCTTTTTTAGCGACTGCTGCAAAGACATTGGGTACGTAGACATGCATCTACGACAGGATATTTCTGCATTTTTAGCTGAATTTTGGTGCAAAAATGTGCAGGATTGAAAGCTTTCCCATCTGACAAGTTGCTCCAGTTCTAGTGCCCTCTTTTTCATGAAAAAAAAGAAAGAAAATGGAGGACTGGTATTGTTTTTGGTATTTTCGTTCCATGACCTCCTTGATAGCTGGTGTTGTTTCCCTTGCAAGATAAAGAAAGACTTGCAGACACAATGGTGAATGAGAAGGAGATACCATCACACAAGATCTGAGATCTCCGAATTCTAGTTTCTGATTGCCTCAACTCCAAGGACCTAATTTCTGCAAACGAATCAAATCCGGTATAGGGGTATAGATGAAGAAGTGACTGATATTGGTTGTGAAAATTTCAAATCAGACACACGGTTTGGTCGATATTGCGATTAAAATGACCTGTTATGTCTTTGATTTCATATTACAGAGAAGTGTGTAATTTTACCGAAGCAGTTCGAACACCATCTGATCGTGACCAGGAGAAGTGGAAATGCCTGTCGGGGTATAACAATGCCAGATCTTATTGGCTGGTGGCTGACTGCCCTGACGACTGGACAGACGACGTCACAACAGACCAGTGTTTAAAAGAAGCTGACCCTTACAACCCGGGTGACCTGGTTTACCGGATGCCCGTGTACGATACTTCAACAAAGATCTCCTACAAGAACATATTCTGTGCTTTTTGTAACAATGTAAGTATGGAACAAGTAACTATATGGGGGGTCAAAGATGTGTGCACTGGGTTGATTAATTCCTCTACAAACCCCGTTGGAATTACACAATTATACAAAAAAATGAATATCGGGAATTATGGGAATTGTAAAGGAACTCCAAAGCTGGAATTCGAACCAGATAAACGCAAATTGCACATGAACATGAGGCGATGTATTCCCTATGAGGTGGATATGTTGAATGTAAATTGTAATGTAACGGCTTGCAGGTCTTACGACAACAGAGTTATTTTCGACATGAATAAGTTTTACAAAAACATTCACTGTGCTCTTTGTGAAGGAATTTCCCTCGCGTCAAGCACACGTTTAAGTTGTTATAACGACCCTAGTAGGGTTGTCTTGAATCCCATCTCCTTAACTCATCTGTTCAACTTTAATGCTGATGAGAGTCACGAAAACAACCCAAACCATTGCCTTCCGGATTCTTTTTACGACCCATTTGTAGACTCGTGCCGACCATTCTCGTCCGTAAGTCACGGTTCATCCAACCAAAGTCTCCCTCTTCAGAACTGCAGCAAACCCATTCTGAATTTCACGTCCGAGGAGTTCCAAATCCTCCCCAACGGCAGCGTCCACCTGTTGAGTTCTAACATGACATGCCCAGCTGAGCAGGTGGCCATTCTGAACACATCAGCTTCAATCTGTGGGGACTGCCTACTGGAGTATTTTTCGAACGACACTCTCCAAACAGCCTGGGATGCTACCAAGAGTTGGCTAACCCTGGGTCTTGTGTCAGTGTCTGACATAGCCGTGGCTGGTTTCGTGTTCTACACTTACAAGTCGGGCCAGTGGAAGAAAGTCCCGGAAAAGCTGAAGGTGCAGGTGATGACATGCATGGCAGTTGCCGTTACCCAGTTTGTGGCACGTGCGTTTATCCCCCCTGGGCCCGTCTGTACAGTGTATGCAATACTGCTGCACTACTTTATGCTGACGGCCTTCACATCCATGAACGTACTAGCTGTAGATCTCTTCCTTACATTTCGTGAGGATTCAGAAAGAGCCGAACTGTACAAGTACATCTTGTACACCTGGCTGGTGCCGGTACCTATAGTCCTTGCCACAGTGATTGTGGAGTTCGGCAGTTCTGTCAGGGTGGGTTATGGAGAGCACTGTTGGATCGGTAATCCAACAGCTAGCCTGGTGGCTTTTGGTGTTCCTGTCTTCTGTGCCCTTTTGATCAATGGTGTCTTCACCATTCTTGTGTTGCAGGCCTTACAGAAATCGTTTCAGATAGCTAACGCTGCTTTGCCACGCTCGGAGATCAGCAAGATCTGGGTCTACATTCGTGTCTCGTTTCTGGCTGGGTTCACCTGGATTTTGGGCTTCATTTTTCCTTTCGTCAAGAGCGAAGTTCTCGAGTACATCTTTATTGTGCTGAACGCTTCCCAAGGCCTTCTGATGACCATGTTTATGACACTGACGGGGGAGGTGTTGGAGAAATGGAAGTCTGCAATCATGGAACGCTTTGGTCTGGCTGAAGCTCATCAGGACAATGGACAAACCACCACCACTCATATCCGGCAGACAACCGGAAGGACGACTGAGGCAACGGCAGGTGGAACCGGCTCTGCTGTAGAGATACCCATGACTATTATGACCGATGTAGAGGAGGACAGGGCACGCCATCGTCCGCGTAAGCCTCGTCAGAACAAAGGACGAAACGCACTTCCCAGCAACAAGCCCTCCACCGCAGGGGGAACTGAGGCGAAGTTGGATGAGACTGACACTGCAGGCAATGTGCAGACCCTCGCAGGTGAAGTTGGGACTACAGCAAGCGGCACTGACGTTGCCACTGAGATTATACCCATGAAAACATTCGTCAATGCTGAAGGAGATGAGGATGAAAACAGTGCTCAAGATCGAGATGAGGATGAGACCAGTTTCTAATTGCGGTACTGAAAGGAAACTAGCAGCATGTCTTAACAACTGCCTACCTATAAAGACGACGTGTTTATTATCTCAACATGGCGTGACCAATAACGAATAACAAAGCCTTACAAAATTAGCTTTGCTTCTCTCCAATGTCGACGTTTGTCACTGAATAAACTCCTATATTGCGTTTGAACGTGGTTGGATGAGGTTTGATGAAGAGACGGATCTATACATTTGCATGTGATTGCAAATTCAAAATTCACCTGTCTACTACTGTAACCTACTCATTTCACCATCCATCATGGCGGGCATTACGTCATAGTCACGTGGGAAAAAAACTTTACAGAAACGTGCAGTGATTGGTCACTGTGACTCTCAACAGTATTTCCTGTCCTTCTGCGACACTATCACTAACCACTACATAGTAAAGTAGTAAGAGATCTTCTGTACTCTACTAGCACAAATGATGACACAGTCCAAAATTGTAACTAAGTCTGTACATAATCCGCTCTGCCTTGGAAACCCAAACAAGGAAGTCTGGTAAATTGTCTATGTAAAAGGCAGAAGTGTACCTTACCTTTGGTTGATAGATAATACTCAAGGAAAAAATAGATTTCTAACAGATTTCTAACCATTTATATAACAAAGAGATCGTGTAGTACATTCCAAGAATGACCCAAAACTTTTTTTATCATCAATATCGTCTTTTCAGTATGGTTGATCAATTAAGCATAAATAATATTTAATATGACCGTTCTTAAACTATCTATTTAGTCAAGAAGTTTGATTCAGATCTAATAAGTCAAGACGTTTTATTCAGATGCTGTAGTGCTCTGTTATGTTCAGTATGATATGAATATTGTAGAGTTGTTTGTGCTTGACATAAGTTACTGAAATAGAGGCAAACATTCTAACATGTTAAATAACATACCATTAAAAAACTTTTAAAATAAAGAATTTTGCACGTCATCAACTGAAAATAACACTTATGATCCATGATGATATATCCTAGGATACTGAAGAGGGCTACTTGTTCTAACATTTAAATTATTCATTGTTTACAATCATAATCTGTAACAAGTTAAAGCATGTCATGTTATCACATGTGATATGAAATCTAGTGAAACTCATCCATGGTCGACTTCTATAGTGTCTGCACATGACGTCACAACCGCCATCTTGGTTGGTGAAGTCAGACCCATGATATAACATATTGTCATGACATTTGGTCAAATCTCATATTTAACGTTCCTGACGCTGCAAATTAAATCTACCTAGCAAGTTCTAAGGTTAGCCATCCAATATGATCGGCATTATCACGTGAGTGCAAACACTATAGATGATTTACTGTACAACAAGAATACGAAAATCCTGAAGTTCTTTTCCTACATTCTTTTCCGTTAAGTGTAAAAAAATAAATAGATATTATGTATCAAGATACTACTAAAAGCCATATCAAGTAAATTCTAAGGATGGCACACTGTTGATTCGAAAGGGCGGAGAAAAAGCTGACACTACTGTGGTAGTCTTTCATCACTAACCTCGGTCAGTGTTATCACACCAGCGATCATCTATCACATGTCCCTTAGATATCTGGCGAAATCAATGCACTCGCAGATGTCAGCCATAGAATTTACTTGATGTTGTCTTACAACAACAAAAAGGCGTCATGTAGGACATTTTAAGTGTGAGGAGCAAGTACTAGTGGACGGAGAAAACTATACTTAAAATCAGAAATTAAAAAATTCCTAAGACACGATTTTTCATCTTATTCCTAGTCGTCGAAAAATATAAAAATCGGGGATTTTTGGTAATATACGTAGCCAATCTTAAACGCCTAAAACGGTGTTTGCCTAAAACATGACTCGGACTGTCTCGGACTGGCGCTCCAAATCCCGAAAAAAAATCGTCTTTCGGAGCGAGATTTTTAAAAATTAGTAATTTAACGTAAACAACTAACATTAAACCCATGTAAAGACGATAATTACATTTTATTTTGACGGAATTTACCCTTCAATACTATTTGTTTATTTTCAAGTGGTTTACGGGTAGTCCAAAACAGGCCCAACTTGCGTCTTGTAACCCGATACGTTTTCGAACCCCCCTAGCAATGGGAAAGAATACCGTAGTGACAGACCGCCGTGATATGTCTTGTACTGTCATCAGGAAAACCTTACCGTGAGTTTCACTTCAGAAACGCAATGGCTCCTATGGTGACAACCATGAAATCATACTAAGTAAACGAAGCCAGACGATCAACTAAACATTGAACTTGAGCAAATCCACGAACTGAATGATAACACAGGTTCTTTCAACTGCCTACTCTATTTGTTTATTATTCTCATTATCATCATGATGTCCGTGATTCACAACTTCTGCAGAAGTGTTGTACATGTAGTTTGTAGAGCTCATTGTTGGAACCGTAAATATATACACGGTAGACGCTGCAGTTTGTGTTCGGTCAACTTCCACACACTGTTCCGAGACGGTCACAGTTTCGTTATACAACTCTTCGGCAGAGTGGTTTTCGGAGTTTTCTACTGATGGTGTACTCTGGTTTTCACCCGAGGTGACCGAATTTTCGTTATCCATACCTTATCTAGAGGTGCACTGGTCCGTCTGTTG